TACAAGGCCCGAGTCTTCTCCCGTCGATCCCGAGTCGAAATTTCGCTTTTACACTAATTCTGCAAATACCAAGTTGAAGAATCAGTGAAGAATCTCGACATAAAACACTATACAAGCTATTTATTTATCTAACGCGGCAAATGGTTATTTATTGCTATTTTCTCTCCATGTTTTTAAAAAGGGTTTTTAAAAAACGTGAGTTTTTATCACAGATTTATATCGAAATTACTCAACATTAGATTATCTCAATATTCCGTCCGCACTTAATCTCTATTCTTATAATTTCAATCGGCACAATGCAATAATTATGTAACTTATTCAGCTGCAGATAGAACATGTAAGAGATAAACGGATATTACATAATTTAATGTAGAAAAAAGAGTAAATAAGTAAAAAAGAAACAACACATTTCTACTTTCACAATCTCTTTTTTTTCTTTCGACGTCGAAAGTCTCCGTGGAACCCGAAACTCTTAAAAGAGCTAATAAGGAGGAAACTGTCAAGGCAAAGATAACAGTTACGTGTCCAATAATACCGTATGTTTACCAATAAAGATATAATTTGAATTTCGTATAATAACAAAGCTAAACAGAAATAAAAAAAGCACCTTGCAGATGTAAACAAGACCGTGCTCGCGACTCAAGAAGCATTATTAGACATAAAAATTAATAATTGTGAGTTTTATATTATATTCCAAGGCCGGTATTTATAGTTGTAAATTATTCAGGATCGAGACTATAATTAATCACAGATTCATGTTTGTCGGCCATTATTCGGCTTTTTCGATCGATATTTTTAGTTGTATGAAATAAGTATTACAAATTAATGAATAATCATAAGTTCAATAAAAAATGAAATTACGACTCTTATAGAAAAGTATCACTGACTGTGATAAATTGGCCAGTAATAAATAGTAATTTTATTAGTCGTACGAGTAATAAAATTATTGAACGATAGTAATTATCACTGGCCAAATTATCACTTATCAGTATTAAATTTCTATAAGGGGATTATGTATCAAATGACGACAAACTACGAACACCGGCCTAAATTTCTCTTTGTTCTCGGTGAGTTCGTCAAACGTCCGTTAAAGTCGGAAACTTTCGGCATGATAAAAAATTTGACACACCTGGAGATACATAGCGCTAACTGCATCCTGTTGTCCTGCTTCCTGCGACCTAACCTTCCGAGTCAGCTGAGCTCTTGGCTGCCACGTGGACGCTCGTTAACACTGGATATTGAGTAACACTGACACTCGCGTAAATTCGATCGGAGAAACGCGTGTTAATTAACGCGACGCGAATTCAATCAAATACTTTATTCCCGCCGATAGAATATTTCACTTGCACGACAGTAAATAACATGCTGATACACGTGCTTCGTTTATCACGACATGTGCGTCGCTCGTCGGCTCGAGATACGTAATGACTTCATCACGAGCGAGTACAGGACGCGCGAGATTTCCAAAACAATTGATATTCCCCTTCAGAAGAAACAAAATCATTCCCCAGTAGCGAGCCGTTGCCGCGCGCCAAACAATAACAAACACACTCGGCGGCCAAAAAATCAAAACAATCAATATTACTGAAACGAGACGTTTCAAACCTCTGAAGTGTCCGATATTTCATTTGATCAATTTGTTAAACTATCAGGATGATTGCACGCACGATACATATTAAAAGTGTCGCAACATTCGACGATCGTCGATAAACGCGCGATCATTAATTAACGCCGCGTTTCCCGCCGACACTTTCGTGCGATACATACATTGAGTGCCACGATGACAACCAGGAGCTGACTCTAGGAAGGACAGGACGCAGGATGTAGTGGCAGTCTGTCGCATGACATACGTGACGCTTGCAATCGCAATCCCATCGAAAGATTTATATCTAACTCTAAACTCTCGCACAAATCTGAGTGCTTCACTTGAGACAAGTTTCAAGTAGCGACTATTAATACCGGTCCATATCCTAACGAGATTCCTAACGGCAATAAGAAATAATAGTAACGAGATTATGGAAGATTCCCTCTGAGAGAAAAGGAAGGAATAATAATAAAAGATTGAAAGAGAGAGAGAAAAACTTGAGTCAGTTATTAATTAATGCATTGCTGATACGAATTAAGAATTATAAAAGATTAAATCCAAGTAGAGACTATCAAGTTAAAGCAAAAATAATAAAATTTTAAGATAATTAAACATCAAGTAATTTTTTAATTAATTCCTTTTTAAGGAATCAACACGAAACGGCGATAAGTAACCATTTCCGGCGTCAAAGGACAATAGCCTAAATAATGTTACACCTCGTAATTTCCCATTGATTCTTCGAGTTCGACAAATAACAAGATTAACGTGGAACCAAACTTTTGCGCGACTCGGGATAACTCAATATACACATCTACGCTAAAGTTATTAATAATTGATTGTACACTACACTCTTCTCGAATAGTATTAATCCAGTGGAATTTAGCGCTTACTTACGTCTCAAAATCGGACAGAGTAAAATACGATCGTAAATTGTAGTGGCAGCAAAAAATATCAATGCGTCACAAGAAGACAATACATTATTTTTTCATTATACTGTTAGCGTTACCAACTGAAAGTCGGTGACCGTGGGATAGTCGAGGGAGGTGAGGAAAGTCGCCAACATTTTTGAAACTCGATAAACGAGCTGACGAAAAAAATGACAGCTGGAGACGAAGGAACACAATAGAACGTCTGTCGAAATAAAAAAACATTTTTCCTCCTACGCATGAGAATCGCTGTTCCTGGATGGAAAAGCGCGCGAAAAGACTCATTGTAAAAAATCAACGTCGTTATTCAACAGCGCGCAACGAATGCTTCGAAGTATTACTCGTGAGCATTTAATCGTGAGTTCTCGTCGTAACTGTGAAAATCACGTATGTCACAACGAGTGTTGTCTTCGCTGTCTTTAAGGCGATGCTATATACCGACACATTTTCGTAGTTTTCTTCTTTCTTTCAATTAGATGCATCAAATTGAAAATGCTTTTACAAGGCGAAAGTACAAAGCTTAATAAATGGCTGATGCTAAATTGCATGAGGTTAACAAAAAAATTTTTAAAGTCGATAAATAAAAATTTTTTTGTTGATTTCATGTAATTGTTTAGCATCAGCCATTCATTAACGTTTGTGCTTTCAACCTGTAAAAGCATTTTCAATTTGATGCATCCAATTAGAAGAAAAGAGAAAACTACGAAAGTGCGTTATATCGATATTCAGCATCGCCTAAATCATAAGTAATCAGAAGTTGCGTCCAGATCTCACATTACCTTCGCCGACTGCATCTCGTGAGATTCTCGGATGCGAGGGAATCGATTCCAAATCGAAGATTCAAGAAAAAGAATGCATGGTGAGCGATGAGGAGAGAGGGAGGAAGGGAGAGAGAGAGAGAGAGAAAAGAAGTATAAAAGAGGCACGTTCCCGGCACGGTCCACCGCTCCTTAGCATTCTTTTACAGAATATATTCAGAACGGAGATTATTTTCAGCTGTAGGCGTTTGATGTAAAGGTGTGTTTAAGAAAAACATTCACCTTTTCTTTACCTGTGAAAACGTGACCATCGTGTTTACCTGAGAAAGGGTTGTTCGATGTGAATAATCTGTGTTTCACAAGACTGGCTACTGCTGAATAACTTCACGGTGACTCTTTCGAGAAGTGTCTCCCACATAAGGCGCTAACATGTAACTACCTAGTAAGTAGCGATATTTTTTTGCGTTTTCTCACTACGTGGACACGCAGTCACACAACATATCTAAGATGACGAGAACTGAAAGTAAAGACCGATTCTTCGTATGAAAGGACCTATTAAAGAGTTATTTTCTTCTATTCTTAAGAATAGGACAAACGGGAGAAAAGCATTGTCCCCGGGGAAAAGTGAAAAAAATTAAAACCGCTAAGGGACCATCGATTCCGTTAACTAAATCTCAAAGTCTCATTGGTCATTCAAAATGCCACTCCATCACGCAACTGAATAGCAAGACAATATAGATACATTACCACGGCTACTGTTACGCGCGCACCTTGCAAGGCCCAAAGTGAGCGAGCGAGAGAGAAAGAGAAAAAGAGAGAGAAAGAAAGACATGACGTCATATCGAGTCGTCCGTGCCCCATGATTTTTACAAATGCGTGTGGACATCTTAAATCTTTCTAGAATGGAATACCTTATGAGCATTTGTAATCACAATTGTTCGCGCGTTATGCTTTTACTTGGTCTGCAAATCTGTCGGATAATCGCCGTGACCATGACAGACGCTGTGTTCCTTTACATAATAATTAGCGGTAATATTGACTGCTCATATTTACTTACTTCAATTAATTTCAATACTTGTCCCTAGAGAGGATCGTTTCGTATGGTCCCGCTTTACCGGTTTCGCTTGTACAAATCTAACTCATGCTGATCTCATTACCCGAATTACTAATTGTTCGTGTTGTAACATACAATCGTATAATTTCTTCTCGAGATTGGTCAACACTTTCAAGCGTACAGCTCGATTATTAACGGTAGTTATTAACTTTCCTTTTACTTTTGCACATTTCTCACTTTTTCGCTTCACGGAGTATTTCCTCCGAGACCACGTGCGTCTTACATCTAGTTGTGACACATCGATTTTATCTAATCTTCCGCACAAGAAGGGATGTCTCCCCGTAAATAAATAAATAAATAAATTGTGACGTTTATATTTCACGAGACACACGTAACGACGACGATGACCACATGAGAAAGTGTCGTTTCCTGCCCACGCGGCAAACCTGTTATTAATTACGTTATTAATCGCGTTATTAATCGCGCACGTCGACGGTGAGCACGCGTGGCATAAGTTAACGTCCCTCCTCGCGCGAATCGGTCGGCGGATCGCGACGGTGACACACGCTTTGCCGAGGAATTGCGAAACGCAAAAGACAGGTCCGGTAAGAGGACGGTGGCCGCGTCCGCGGCTCATGCATATTAACGCGCAAAATCGATGAATTATTCGGACTCACCTGAGGACACATCTTGCATTGGTACTTCCTCGGTGGATGCGAGTGAGGCCCACCGAGATGTGGATTTAGATGCGACGGATGCGAAGGCTTAACGGTGAGAGGCTGCGGCACCACCAACAGACTTGCAGGTGGACTTCCGCTGCTGGAGCCACCGGCGCCCCGATACTGCTCATCACCTGCAATCATTCATGATTCGGGCTCGTGACTGGAATCGGATCAGCTCGAGCTACGACGGCTGCTATCGAGGGCAGTTTAGCGCGGCCTCGACGCGCGAAGCAGCCCGGAGCAGGCAGGTTGCACGCTCCTAAGCGGCCCGCGAGATTAATGGTTTAATTAGTCGAGATTATTTCCATCGTCTCTCTCGTAACCTACTTGGTTCGATCAAACAGTAGAGCGGCGGCGACGGCGACGGAAATGCCGGTCTGGAAAGTGACACGGTAAACCGCGCTATTCATCGGTATTTTCCAGGTGCTTCTAATTGACCGCTAATGATAGACTGAGCGTTACGGATTGTGCGGATTGCCAGCAACACCGATACACTTCTCGCGAACGAGATCCACGCCGGCAGAATTTTCCGTCACGTAATTTGCTGCGGGATCAGAGACGCGGAAGACCTTGCCCGACATTGTCCGTCATCAATTGTTCCCCGCGTTCGTGTTAGAATATACGTTCCAATTACAGGTTTCCCCTTTGCGCAGAGCTCGATTTTCGCGCTGCGCAAAACTTGTACATAACAGGCACGCGTAAGCCACGCACGCACGTGCGCGTCTGCAAACTGATTAACATCGCGTTCAATAAATATTCCTAGAGCTGTGCCTGCGCGAAAAATCATGCCGGGGATAATATATGCAAAATCACGCAGGATATACTGGATTCACTTTTAAGCCGCGTGATGTGCTGGAGAATTAATAAAGAGACTCCCAGAGTTTTTCTGCGATTTATCGGCGTGTACTGCAAAGTTCCATATCTTTCATTTACGGGCTCGTCGCGAATTTCGACGATAAATAAAGACCCGCGTGTACAAATGCGATCGCGTATACGGAACGTGCGGCCGCAGATTCATATGCAACGCGTGCGCGCACTCCGAGAGTGCACGCGCGCGCGCGTGTGTATGTGTGTGTGCTCGCGCGCGATTAATACCGAGAAAGAAGCACACGGACGCGCGAGCGGTCGACCGATTGACGCAACACGTCGGCGTGCAAGGGGCAAGGATCCTGCAGGTTGCAAGGACGAGTGATCCTGCATTACCAGTGCCTGTCATTAAGCCGAGAGAGTTCGCAATATCGATCGACGCGCGCGCGCGCGCGCACACGTATGCGAATGTGCGCGCACGACCGGCAGGCCGAGTTAGCTATATCATCGCCTATACACCCGTTCGCGGTGTATCTCGCTACTACTTTGCGCTCTTACGCGCCTCATCGACGCTTAAACGCTTCACGCTCCTTATGCATGCGGCCTGCAAAAGTACACCGTCACGGCTTTCGACGCGAATATTCGTCACTGCTACTCCTCGACGTCTCGTCATCGCGAGTCTCTCTCATTCTTTCTCTCTGCCTCTTTTTCTCCTTCTCTTCTTGTCATAATAGTTATCACTACACGGAGAGAATTTTACAGTAAAAATTGTCGCAATTTTTTACCGAGGAACAGATTGACATTCTACAGCAATTCACTATCCTTTCGCTTCGCAGGCGCTACACTCCTGTGAGGGAAAAAATATCTAAGAAATAAGAAATATCCACTCGGTTGGTATTTCTTTATGTATAACAACGTATTTATTTATGTTAATAAAAAATGTTTCTCAAATAAAGAAATGTATTTTCTTAAAACCTCAGCTTTTTATGAAAACAACTGGTTTTCATTTAATTTAATATTCCATTTAAATAGAAGAATATAGATTTAAACGAATACGCTGTTAGTACTCACCAAATAAATATTTTTTATTTCTTAGATATTTTTCTCTCAGTATCTTGAAAACTGAAATATTATTAAGAAAATTTACTGCTTCTAGTGAAATTTACTATATTTTTGCGCAAGAGATAGACTTACTGACAGTTTATTTCTCTCTACACTATTAGAAATATAATAAAATTGAAAAAAATCTGTATGAAAAGAAAACACTATAATATTCTTTCCTCTATCTTCTCTCTTATTTTGTATCGTTATGTATTACTTTCTCTTCATAATTCTTTTTGCTACTGTTTTTGTAAAACGCAACCACAATTTACCTTTTATTTACCGGGCACTTATAATTATTTTTTTTTTTGTTTATTTTGCTTTCTCTTGTACTTCTTGACACCTTATTATGACACTTTATATTCTGTCTACCAGCACCATGGTTGTATTCTTATCGTTGTATGCCCCAAGGGATTTTTTATTTCAGGGTCGAGTAAACCTATCTATTTCGCAACGCGGGCGATTAATATTTCAAACGATCGAGAGACTCGGCCGAAAACGAGATCGAACCTTGGCGAGGAGGGCCAGTGGTCACGGCTGATGGTATTTCGACACTTTCCAAGAGGCTCCCTGAGATCGTGTCTGACGCGATGGGACTATTAGCGGAGTGAAGTATCGTCGAGGGATTACCGGGGATTTTACTCGGGACCGGGGCTCTTATTAGAACATGACTTTTCGTCGCAGTTTCCGCCACGGTTTGTTTCAACGTTTAATCTTGAATTATAAGGCCGGTATCGATCGTCGTTCGAGTCTGTTCGTTTGGTTTCTTCCTTTTTTCTTCCTATGCGCGGGCATCCTTCCTGCCGGATCCGGCTTTAACGCTTAAGAAAGCCCGCGCTGCGGCGGTAAAAAACGGGCCGGAAGCGTTAACGGCATTAAACCGAGGAAGTTGTAATAAATTACGTACTTGATCTGTTTCCTGCCGATAATAGAAAAGTTATCGACCTTGAGCAACGAGTTAACGCTTGAAAAGCGCTGCCTCTCTCTCTTTCTCTCTCACCTCCCCCCCCCCCTTCTCTCTCTCTCTCTCTCTCTCTCTCTCGGCAGTCGACGGTATCGTCCTTTTACGACACGCTTTTAAACGGGAGAACGAGGGCAGCTCCGAATTACGGGTTCTCCCGGCTTTTGATTTGTACAGCGCGATGAAATACGGCCTTTTCGTTTCGTTTTTACGAAGCGCCGCGAAAAAGAACGAGTAACGATTCGCAACCGACCATTAATGACTTCATAATTTATTAATAGCTTCTTTACTGCTCTTCACGCGCGCGCTCACTCACCCGCTCGCGAGCGCCCCGCGATTACTGCCTAGCCGCGCTTCTTCGCTCGTTAAGTTCAGTTCAGAGGCGAGGACCCTTCTCTTACAAGGACGGGGCATCCTGCGACTTTTACGACAATGCGAGAGCGTGTTCGCCTGGTAGGCATACGTAGAAAACGCGTGTCTCCAAACAGAAGCGCGCTCGTGCGCGCGCCGGGAGCAGCCTACGCATGTGGATTTTAATTCGAATCGATGTCGGATGCGTGCGTGAGCGCGCTTAAAAAATACCCATCAAAGTCTACGCGTATCGAATGTTGCATGTGAATTGCCACTTCTGCATGCAAGCGCGAGAAGCGATTACCGTTAATGTTTAGTGTACCCAAAAAAATATAATCTTATTCTCGGCGATGTTCTCTGAATCTTAGAGGATTTAATTTTTCTATGGAGCCTCTCTAGAGAGAATTTTTCTATAACCAAAAGGGAAATATGCTAAGCACAATATTTTTTAAAGTTAGAGGAACTTTACAGTACAAATCTTGTTTTTAATGAAAATTTCTTCTGTATTGAAGGAAAAAATATCTAAGAAGTAAAAAATATTTACTTACAGAAGTAAAAATATTTACTTATTAATAACATGTTTTTACTTACATTAATATAAAATATTTTTTTAAATAAAAAATACACATTTTCCTAAAACCTGAAGATAATTTTATTTTTCCACGAAAAACAATTATTCTGTTTAAATAAAAAAATTTAGATTTAAATAAATATGTTATTAGAATATCCAAATAAATATTTAACCAAATAAATATTTTCTTTACTATTTCCCAAATATTTTTTTCTCTCAGTGCAATATTGCAAAGCAATAGTGCAGAGAATATTCTTTGCTTTAAGTAAACATGTTTCTCTTGATTCGAAAGAAAAAGAATAAACGTAATATCTAATAGATTTCTGATTAGTCCATTAGAAAAGAGATATTCTCCTGGCAAAAATATGCTCTCGTTTAGAATGTGGAATTACAGAAAATAGCATCTTTTACAATTAAAGTTCTTTTTCAGAAGTAATTGGCACTCAGAAAGTTTTCGACACTCTTGAACGAATTTGATCAGATGTTATAATATGTATAAAGATTTTTTAAATTATGTATTAATTATTTCTTATTATTTATATTTATTTTCATAATTGTCATATACACCTTAACATTTTATGAAATCCGCGCAAGAATGTCAATTACTGGACATTTTCTCCTAATCGTCGTTTGCTCTTAACTTGTCCAATTAAATCATACGCGACGCGTGATAGTTTAGACAATTCATCTCTGGACTATAACATCCGACGTTGATTACGATCAACGACGATGTCGAAATCACGATTATGGACATCGATTTGATGTCTGTCCGCGATTTTCGGACCAATTTAATGTGGACGTTTAATTCGCGCCATCAGAAAGGCATTGATCCTATGTAATTAATATATAATGACGAATTCATTTCAATGCATTATATATTTAATATGATACTATATTCAAAAACACATTCACGCGCGCGCGCGCGCACACACACACACACACACACACACACCATTATAAGCAGGTTTTTATGATTCTTATAACTATTGGAGGAAAAATGAGATGATATACTTCGCGGATTCAAATCGCAGTGATTTAATGAATCAACGTCTACTCGCGGAATCCAAGATTGACCGTTAAATGATAACGTCGCAACATTGCGAGAATTGCGCAAGTAATAATAACAGTCAGCACAGCGCCAAAGTTCAAGGCGCGGACGGCACTTACGTGGTTTTCAATAGCAACCGCTCGAGAAACGCCCGATTACATAACGCCGAAAAACACGAAAAACTTACTTCACATTAACGGATTATCATCATTCGACGCTTCCGGGGTCGAAATTTGGATTATTCTCTCTTTCGACTCCGATATTCAATTTAACATCAATTCTGAAACTTAAC